GGCGCGCTTGGCCAGCAGCTGCCTGGGAGGAGCGCCGCCCCGACCTCTGCCCCCGCCATGTTTCCTCCTCTTGCAGCCAACAAAGCTCGTCCCAGGCTGGGACGAGCTTTGCCGGCTGCAAGAGGAGGACGCGCGGCGGCGGCGGGGGGGGGACCCTGAAGCGTTCTCTGTGGTTGTTTCTTTTCCCACCGTGATGTTGAATCAGTGCCCGTGCCTGGCCTGGGTTCTGGAGGGTCATCCGCAGGGCTGCCCCCCCCCCGCTGCCACCGCCGCGCGTCCTCCTCTTGCAGCCGGCAAAGCTCGTCCCAGGCTGGGAGGAGCTCTGCTGGCTGCAGGAGGAGGACATGTGGCGGCAGGGGGCGGAGGTAGGGGTATAAATACTGGTGAAGTCCTACAGAATTCTGTTGGCTTCTGAAAGATCAGGAGGGGCTTAGCCTCCTGAGAATTTGGAGTCAACCCGAGAGGCCTCTCGTTCTCTGCATGCCTTGGGGTGGGGGAAACTTTGCTTGCATGTTTATTTTTCTGTGTGTTCTATCAATATTTAGGAAATAGGATTCTACTGTGTTGGCAGGCTGGCATAGCGTCTTGCTGGTCATCTTGCCATGTAAATCTCTGAATGTTTTCATATAATAAAGATAAGTTTTATTTTAAGAAGAGACCTTTGAATGTCTCTGCCAGCGCCTTAGTGATTTCCAAGCTTACACCTCTGCCTTTGGTAAGGAGGCAACACTCAGGAGACACACGAACCGAGGGGAGAGTGTGGGTGACATGGGTGAACACGCTTTCATAGACATGTGCAGCCACACACATTTTTCTCCCAACACCTACTCTTCTCCCACCTTCTCTCTTTCAGTCTGTCTCACACTCTATCATTCTCCCTCTCCCAACAACTACTGTCACTCTTTCTACCTCCCCAGGATGCCTTCTCTTTGTTTCTTTCTCCGTCTCCTCTTTCTCCCTCTTCCAATGTCAGTCTCTCTCTTGTTCTCCCTCACCCAACACCTGCTATCAATATCTCACATGCCCCCCCTTTCTCCATTCCCCCCCTTCCCTGCCCACCTCACTGCTTTTGGCTCCTCCTCTCCTACCCACAGTACCGCTTCTGGAAAGGTAATGATGGCAGGCCTGGTGGCAGCAGCAATTCCACCCCCTGCAGTGCCACTGCAGGAAAGGCAGCAACGTTGAGCTTGCTGGTGGTGGCAGCAACAGTTCTTCCCCCTCCTCCCCCTGCCTGCAGCATCACCACCAGAGAGGCAGTGATGACAGGCATGGCAACAGCAGTTCCTCCTCCCCACATGCAGCACTGCAGCAGTCTCCCCCTTACACATTGTCTCTGTTGATGAGGTGCAGTGGTAGTTATGTGCAAGCACAGAGAAGTTCCCTAGGGAAGGTTTAATCCCCCCTCTCCATTTTGGACTTCGGGGTGCTCCTAAGTTTGTGGGAAAATCTCCCTTCTCTCCACCTGGCCCCAATCTACAGACTTAAATACCCACATCTGAGGCCAGGGTGAGAACTCAATTTATTTATAATGGCATACTCATCCATTATAGAAAACAAATCATCTGTATTGGCAATGTAAATGAACAGTCCACAAAGACACTGTATGGAAACAAATTTTAAAAATGAAAAAAAGTATATTCATCTATCCTTAATGCACATCAGTGAGTAATAAACACATGTAGACATTTAAAATAGAATTAAGCATTTTGAATGTGATTGAAATTATGCTCTTTTTTCACAGCTGTGACATATTGCTACTAGTTGATCTGCTAGACTTTAGTAAGAGAAGAACTGAGATACCATATTAATCCACTAAAATCAGGATGGGAGATTTCCCAGTTGTTTCAGCAGCACTTTCAGAACATTACCTTTACGGAAGAGGACAGCTCCAAATTCGCCATGAGTTGCTTTGGAATTGTCTTTCATAGCCTTGAAAGTGCTCCTCTCTGCAGCACCACAAATATCTTCATCATCTAGGTTCAGGCCCAAGAATTCAGCTATCTTTTTGGCTCCCACAACTGGGTTCTGCAATAAGAAAAGTAAAGCAATATTTATGATCAGTTTATGCATTTTTGAAGTAAGCTATGTCTTGTGTAAATTTATATCCTAACAAAATTAAACTATGGCTTGCTTAGGGAAGGTGATGATGCAGAACAGGCTGGCTTCATTTGGAACAGCTGTGCTGATTAGTGTAGTTTGAAGGCACTACAGCTTGACCAAAACAGAGAGACATACTTTTATATATCCTGAATGCAGGAGAATAGCCTGAATGTAAGAATAGCTATGGTGGATCAGAACAATGGTCTGTCTAATGTATCATCCCTTCATAAGAGTGACCAGATAGACGCTAGAGGGAAGCTCACAAGCACGGCCCACCTTCAACAGCCCTCATCTGTGGACCGTTCTCCAGCATATGACCATCTAGCATCATGGGAGAAGGGAAATTTCTCTCTCTCTGCCCACTATGTCTATATCATGCATAATTTTGTAGACTTTTCTTATGTCACCCTTCAGCGGCCTTCCCCCCCCCCCAACCACAAAGACCCAGATGCTTTAGTTTTGCCTTGTTGGGCAGATGATGCAACCCCATGATCATTTTTCTTGCAGTTTTCAGCCTTTCCCCCCCAGCACTTCAATATCCTTTTTGAGGTGATGTGATCAGAATGGCACACTGTATGAGGCTATACCACCATCTTGAATAAGGGCTTTGCAAGTAGTTTTATTCGCAGCCCCTTTCTCAATGATCCCTAGCATAGAATTTGGATTATTATTTTTTGCATAACTTTGCTCACACTTTAAAAAATGAGCCAGTCTGATACAGTGGTTAAAGAGAGGAACTGGGAAGCCTAGGTTTTGAATTCCAGCTCAGGCATGAATTCCAGCTCAGTGGGGTGACTTTGGGCTTGTGACCTTCTCTTTGCATAACCTTCCTCAAAGAGTTGTTGTAGGAGTAAAATGAAACCAAAAACCCATCAATATTTCTCTGAGCTCCTTGGCGCAAGGGTAACAAAAAATGTTACTTCATTAACTTCAGTTTTGGGTTAGGTGGGCTACACTTTCCAGTAAAATGCTTCCATTATTCTATGTACGCTTATTAGTTCAATTGTAAGAAAAGTTGCCTGAACTGCATGGTAACTTGGATCCACCAGAGTGTTTCCATAAGACAGAAGGAATTCTTGCTTGTGGATCATGATTTTCTCACTTCCTCCTCCTTCCGCGGCCCATAGTGACCCTGAAATGATACTTCTGGGGCCAGTGGACCCCTAGGAACACTATTTTAGCAGCACTTGGAGCTGCAGTGGGAGGCAGGAGGCAAGACAGCTGTGTTCTGCAGGCAGAAATCCTTCTGTCCATATTAAACCCCTTGCCCAGTGAAATATATATAACTGTACCTTATGTAAAAGATATAACTGTATATCTATAAACTTTGTAGATATAAATTTATAGATAGAAACATCTTTATAGACATAAACTGTATTAATCCTACCTCTTTTATTTCTTCATAAGTTATTGGCATGACATTGTCTTTATCGATATACTTGTTCCACACACAAAGATATTCAATGTAGCTTCCCCAGGGCACTAGTGGAAACCAGAAATCATGAAGCAGTGATTACAAGAAGTCCAATAAAAGCTTTAAAAAGTTAAATTTATTCACTATAGTTCCAGATTTACCCTACTCCCAAACAGCATGGCTAAGCACAGCAAAAACAGTTAAACTTCGAGTCAGAGCTTATGATGGTGTTTGGGATGGGGGTGTAAAATTCCTCCTAAATGTCATCTGCTCCTGGATAGCTATATCAATTTTTGATGTTGCTTGAAATTATCTACTTCACCCTAAATTCTTCATTTTATTGTCTCCCGGTTTGATAAATGTGGAGAATTTATTAAACCGGGAGACAATAAAAAACCCAAGCAATATTTTTAAGTTTTAAGACTGCCTAGTTATAACCATTCATTTGTGCTTTACCAATAAAGAAGTAACAAGATTCATTGTGACTGTCTACTGAATTTGCATTAACTGGTTTGAATAGGCCCAAACAGTGGGTGACAAGGGACTGAAACTTGACTTGGAAAAAGTAAGTCATTGTAGATGCATCTAGCTTTCTGTGTACCCCAGTGTGGGAAGGCCTTGTTTAGTATCATTCCTTCATTTACCTCTTAGCTAATACATGGGATGTCACATTTTTGCATGAAGGTAGTAAGAATGCACTGGCATGGACCCTATGCTGCAACTGACAGATATGGAAGAATCCCAGAAACAACCTGACTTTCTGAGGCAAAATTGTCAGCAATACCGACTGGGCTCTTTTGCAGTTGCAGAGAGCATGTTTTTCTATTGTGCTGGGAGATGACTAAGAAAATATGTATCTATACCTTCATTGCTTCCATTTAGTTTTCGTTCCCTACATACCAGAATTTTGGGAAATATAGGAATCAGTACATGACAAAGGACCCAGGTTCTCATTTAACTGCATCTCAGAAATAAAATTTAGGATGCCTGGTGTATCAGGATCTGGGATTACAGGAATCAGGTATACTCAGATGGCTACTCCCCCATGTATACATTTTACCTAGATTAACTATTAAAAGTCAGTGTACACTGAATATTAGGGCCAGCCCTTTAGATGCCCTGGCAGTGTCATAAATTTTGTGAGTAAGAAAAGAAAAAGGTTCAGTCCATCTTGCTCAAGAGCTATGCCATTAACAACTCAGAGTTCCTTGCCCATTAACAGGAGTTCTCTGCATTGGCCAGTTCTTACACAGAGAACTCCTGTTCACTTCTCTTGCTCTCTTTCATTTAAAAAACTGAACATCATTAAAGAAGATGTGGACATCTTCAAGGAACAGCTGAATCAGGACATTTATCTCCAGAATTATTCAACTAAATATACTTTCTCCCTTCTTCCCCTAAGATGTTTATGAGAGGCCCACACATTTGTTCATTGAAACACTGCCCATTTTCTTTTCATACAATGTTAGTGGACTGTGAAAGAGATACACTTGGACTGTTTATACACGTGTACTTTGTGTGTGTGTTAAACATGGATAGAAAAGGGAATCTCTACTTTTTCCTTCCATTAAAGCTCGGAAGTAGTCGTTGAAGTTGTCATAAGGCGGATATGGAGAAAAATTGTTTGAAAAATGGAAAAAAGATGCAGCTACATCTTTTGGATTTCGAAGCAGCAGCAGTATCTAAAAATAAATAAATAAATGAAATTAGAACAAAATCTGAATAAGGATCAAAATCTAAAATGTATCAATTCCTATTGATTTTCTCCCAAACATCACATTTCATTCCTTTTACCATCTGTGACAGCCCTTAAAACAACCCTTAAAAGCTTCAAAATGCTGCACTATCAGAGTACCACAGGAGTTAAATCTGCTCAGGAATGGAGACCTTTGAGTGATTCCAAGCACTCTAATTGGCCAGCTCCAACTATGGACAGAAATGTTTATTAGCTGGATTCTGAGCATTCTTACAGATTCTTGATTTGAGAGAAGAGAGATGATTCTGTACTTTAACTGCTGAAAATCTGCTCTGAGGAAGAATTCAGTTGAACTGAATGAGTCTGAGTCTCAGCCTATGCTGAAAGCAAGTTTACATAGACACAAGAACTGGGAATGAGATTTGGCAAGGTTGTTGGGTAGTGAGATGAGACTCCCATTCAGGCCAAAGGAAAGGGGATATAGCTTCTAGAGAGAGAAGATTCTCTGTTCCAAACAGAGAGAGTTATCTCTGAAAGAAAAAGAACCCCTGCCCAGTTTGCAAGGAGAAAAAAATGACTACACTACTTTGGAATAAGGGTCAAAGTGACCCCAATATTACAGCAAAATAATGGAAATCTGATAGCGCTCTCAATCATGGCATTAGCTACTAAGAAGAAAGTCAGGCCACAAGAATAACTATCTTCAGCAATGCATGAAAAAGAAGAGTAAAATTTTGAATTGGGCTCAAAAATGCCCCTCATTGAAAACATCAAAACCCCACAGAAATGTAAATAGGGTCAAACTGACCCCACCATTAAAAAATATATTCTTTTAAAATATATTTTAAAATATATTCTGAGGCTCTTCCAGGACGTGCTGAGTAACCTCTGGTTCAAATGACCAAAAAGTGCCCCGGGCTGCCAGTTCTTCCATTGTTGTTCAAAGGAGTTTTGAATTTCAAGCCTAGGCATTTGAATTTCAATTGGTTCAACAAAGGGTAAGTTTGAATAGGTTCAACAAAGGGAAACAATTAGCTCAGTGGAAACCTGATAGCTCTCTCAATCATGGCCTTAGCTACTAAGGAGTCATGTAAAGTTCCAGGCTGAATGGCTCCTTCAAGTCTGGAAAATGCGGAGAAGTTCAGAAGATACCTTCAAGCATGTCCTGGCTTGTCTGCAAGGGGGATAGAATGACCCCATTTTCCAAAATTCCAATACAGTTCAGATTGAGCTTTTCCATGTGGCTTCCTTCACCAGGGATCATTCCCAAGAGAAAAAGAGTACAGACATTTTCAAACAACTTTGTGCCAATGATACTTGAAGGTGCTTCTGAGAAAGACACTCGAGAGGATTATATGTGAATATACTGAAGATTGCAAATGACAAAAGTACCATAAACCAGATTGACATTGTTTCTACATGGCTATTGTTATGAATCTATTAAAGTGGTATGTCTTTCTAAAATGAATTTTTTTATGTTTATAAATTTGAACTTTCCCTGTATTGGGAAACTACTGGCTGAGATTTTTGGCCACTGACTCTGGGATAGTGCAGAGGTTTGTTGACTTGGCTTTGGAGGTTCCTCTGGATCCTATCATTCTATAACTGCCACTCCACAAAGAGCAGAGGGAGTTGCTTTGACAATACCTGATTTGGTGAATTATCTTGGTTTTTTTCTTTTTTTCTGGTTTGACCTGCAATTTAGGGTTTATTGTAATATTTCCTGGAGTTGATGGATTGGATGGAATGAAAGGTGTACCTTTGTATTTGGTGGATTATACTTGCTGGTGGATTTTTGCATTTGGTGAATTATACATGCTGGTGGATTTTTGCTGGATTTCCTATTTAACTTTGGGGATCATTTACTTTTGATTGTTCTTTTTTTAAATTGGCTAATACATTTGTATTATTTTTGACCTGGTGGAATGGATTCGTTTTCATTTTATTTTTCTGTTTCCTTGTCCTTTTTCTGTTGGTCTGGATTTTTGGATTACCTCTGGATTTTGATTTTTTGGAGCTGATTGAGTCACTTGGATTATACCTGGTTTGGCTGGATGGTTTTTATTTCATATTGATTTGGTTTTGTGGATTACCTATGGTTTTCATCAACTGTATTTGACTACTGGCCAAGGGACTTGGACACAGGAACTTTAAAGATTTTGGATACTGGATACTGGAACTCCTGAGGTCTGGCCTTTCAAAGAATTGTGCAAACACTATTTTAGGAACTAACTATATTATATATCATTTATTAGGAGATTTAAAAATTTTGGATTGTGGAACTGGACACATTTATTACTTTTTATAATAAAGGTGCTGGTAAGAGAGAGCTTTATAAAAAACTAATAATAACAAGAATAAAGCTTGTAATCGAGGCAAAACTACATAGGGGTGTATAGTGTGGGAAGCAGATGGTGGAAATTGTTTCTGCTGAAATATAGTCTTTGAATGTCATATTGTTTAGACTATTGAACAAGATAAGGAGAACTGCAGAGGTGGTGTTTGAAAATCATTACTGTGATTAAATTGTTTTGGAACACTGAGATCCACTTGGAGTAAATATTATTGAAACATTGAAAAACAACAGGTTTTACATTGACACTGCCAAGTATTGATTTGGTTTTGTGGATTACCTATGGTTTTCATCAACTGTATTTGACTACTGGCCAAGGGACTTGGACACAGGAACTTTAAAGATTTTGGATACTGGATACTGGAACTCCTGAGGTCTGGCCTTTCAAAGAATTGTGCAAACACTATTTTAGGAACTAACTATATTATATATCATTTATTAGGAGATTTAAAAATTTTGGATTGTGGAACTGGACACATTTATTACTTTTTATAATAAAGGTGCTGGTAAGAGAGAGCTTTATAAAAAACTAATAATAACAAGAATAAAGCTTGTAATCGAGGCAAAACTACATAGGGGTGTATAGTGTGGGAAGCAGATGGTGGAAATTGTTTCTGCTGAAATATAGTCTTTGAATGTCATATTGTTTAGACTGTTGAACAAGATAAGGAGAACTGCAGAGGCGGTGTTTGAAAATCATTACTGTGATTAAACTGTTTTGGAACACTGAGATCCACTTGGAGTAAATATTATTGAAACATTGAAAAACAACAGGTTTTACATTGACACTGCCAAGGGGAGGGGGAGAGGATTGGGAAAATTGTGATTTGTAAATGGAAAATGGCTTCTGCTTCAATGAAACCCTCCCCAGGTGCAAAAAAATCAACAGCCTCAAATTTAGCTAAAATGCAAAATCAGAAACTACAAAACATGATTAAGGAGGCTGTAAATAAAGCAATAGAAGGTACACTCCCCCAGGCCATATGCAATGCATTACCAATTGTGGTGGAACTCTTACAAGCAATATTTGATGCTTTAACCCTGCAAGTAACATCTGAAACCCAAGAATATAAGCAGCAAATTGTTGAAAATACTCAACAGTCTACCACACTGAAACAGAATACTACACAACTATAGGAGAAGTCAGAAGAGTTAGACCAAAGATGTCAATTTATGGAGGCCAAGCAAGACCTCCTAGAAGATTCTCTAATTAGGCTGGAGTTAGATAAAGCATCATATATGCTGGGATTTCAGAATATTCCAGAAAAAGTAGATGAAGATGTTAAAGAGGAAATGACCAAAATATTGTCAACATATTTGGAAGGAGAGTGTACCCAGGACATTTCAGATGAGATATATGTTGCTTATAGAATGAACTCAGCATATACAAGAAGAAATAAGGTACCCAGGGAGATTCATGTGAGATTTCATAAAAAGGTAATGAGAGATACCATTCTGAAAACTGCAAGCAAAAAACCACTACAGGTACAGGAGACAGAAATCCCAATTCTTAAAGAGATTTCATGGAGAGTAAGAGAAAAGAGGAAAAATTACACCCAGCCCACAAATCTGCTGAGAGAGAATGGAATAACATATAGATGGCTACTCCCTGAAGATATCTTCTTCATGGTAGAAGGAAAAAGATTCAAAATAAATTCAATATGTAAAGTGGAAGACTTCTTTAAAAAATATGGAGAAGATTTGGGAGCTAAAGTAGAGGAGGAGGAGAAAGAAGAAAAAGAAGAAGAAGAAGAAGAAGAAGAAGAAGAAGAAGAAGAAGAAGAAGAAGAAGAAGAAGAAGAAGAAGAAGAAGAAGAAGAAGAAAAGAGTGAAGGAGAAGAAGATGATCAACAGGACAAAGGTGCAACAGGACCCAAACCACAGAGTAACAAGACTACAAGAGAAGAATAGAATCGGGAAATTAAACAAAAAATCATACAAAGATGGATAGGAGCAAGATGAAGATAATTTCCATTAATGTCAATGGTCTGAATGCCCCACATAAAAGGAAACAAATATTCCAACAAATTAAGAAGATGCAAGCAGATGTAGTTTGCTTACAAGAAACTCATATTAAGCAATTGGATAAAAAATACTTGGAAGTTAAAAAACTTGGGGAATCCTTTCTTTCAGCAGATAAGCATAAGAAAAAGAGGGGAGTGGTTACCTAAGTGAAAGAACATTTACACCCAAAAATGATTTATGAATCAGAAGATGGAAGAGTAGTGATTGTGAAAATACAGAGACAAGCTAAAGCAACAATGGCTGCGGTCACACGGAGCATTAGCCACGCTAGAGCGATGGAAGACAGGCGGAGTTTCCGGGCGCGATCTCACCAGCACATCTGGGAAGCGTAGTACTTCCGTGGCTCAACTGAGGCTTCCCGCCGAAAACACGCAGCAAAAAACTAGTACCTTGGAGGTACTAGTTTCCGGTAACTGCGGGGCAAGGGCAGGCGTCTGATCGCATTTCTGGAGGCATCCGGCGCCCGCCCATGTCCCCTTGCGAAAAAGGGTTTTTTTCCCCACATCTCCGTGGATGCGCACAAGTACACGGAAAAAAACACATCCAGTTTGCCGCACTGCGCGCTTCTTTTTTGCGCGTGGAATTGTCTTGCGATCAGCACCACTCCCTTCCCACGGAACCTCCACAGTACCTCCACGGTACCTCAACGGGAGGTCTGATCTCTTTACCACACGTTAGTTTGCCCCGGGGCAAACTGCCACGCTTCCCCCCCGCAGTTTCCTGCCCGTGTGACCGGGGGCAATGATTGCCAATATCTATGCCCTGAATCAACAACAGGAAGAATTTTTCCAAGGTCTACAGGAAACCATTGCAAATCAAAGTTATGAGGAAATATGTATTATTGGAGATTACAATGCAGTATTTGACAAAAGTGCGGACAGGAAGAGTCAAACAGCAAAACAAAAAAGGCAGTGAACTACGAAGGTTCTTTTTACAATTGGCAAAAGAATGTATTTTAGTGGATTCCTGGAGAATCAGAAATCTGAACAAAAAATAATATACCTTATTTTCCGCAAGGCATAAATCATGGTCAAGATTGGACATGGAATGGATATCAACTAGTATGGTTAATAATATCATAGAAGTAGAAATTCTCCCTTTGACATATGCAAAATCATAATCCTTTACTTTTGACTTTACAGGATACACCAAGAAAAACCAGATGGTCAATGAATTTATGGTTACTAAAAGATCCAGAATTTATTATTAGATCTAATGAAGAATTTTAAGAATTTTTTAAAAATAAATACTCAAGCAGAGACTTCACAAGATGTAATCTGGGATGCATTTAAAGCATTTGCGAGAGGATGGCTTATTAGACAAAATGCTCTGGTTAGGAAAAAAAGGAAACAGAAGTATACACAGATTGAAGAACAAATTAAAAAGAAGAACAAAAAATGCCATTAGAACCTACAATAGAAGACATAAGTTTAAAAATTCAAAACCTACAACACCAACTTAATTGTATGTTAACCCAAAAAATTGCAAAAAAAAATGTTTGCAAAACAAAACTTTTTTGAAAATGCTAATAAACCTACTAGATGGTTGGCATATAAACTACATAAATAAGCAGATAAGAAACACATAATTTTTTTAAAAAATGAACATGGTGAAGATTAAAATGCGCATAAAGAAATAAAGAGTATAGTTAAAAAGTTTTATAGAAAATTATATCAGCAACAGAATTTCAATCAAGAACAGATTAGAGACATTTTACAAAAATATAATAAAAAAGAGTTTACTGAAGACCAAAAGAAATTTTTAAATGAACCAATATCTTTTGTAGAATTAACTGAAGCCATTAAAAAGCAAAAGAAGAAGAAAACACCAGGTCGTGATGGGCTACCTGCAGAATTCTATCAATTATTTGAAGATCAAATTGCCTTACCACTGAAGAATACCATTCAAAATATATTTGAACAGAAGAAATTCCCAGAGTCATTGAATCAAGCACTAATTACACTAATACATAAACTGGACACAGATAAAAGAGAAATTAAAATCAACCAATGTCATTACTTAATGTGGATTATAAAATATATGTTTCTATATTAGCAAATAGGTTTAAAAAGGTACTGATCACAACAATTCATTAGGATCAATCTGGGTTTCTACCAAGAAGGCAATTGAGAAACAACGTGAGAAATACCTTGAATGTTTTAGAATTTTTTGAAGCACATCCAGAAAAACAGATGGCTCTTTTATTTCTTGATGCAGAAAAGGCCTTTGATAATTTAAATTGGACTTTTATGTTGGAACAATTGTTAGTGTGGAAATGTGGAGAATATTTCTACACTATGGTGAGAGCAATCTACTCAACACAATCAGCAAGAATTATAGTAAATGGTGATCTTACGCAAAATATCAAAATTGATAAAGGAACAAGACAAGGGTGCCCTCTATCTCCGCTTTTATTCATATTTGCACTGGAAACATTAAACAATATGATCAGACAAGATGGAGAAATTAAGGGAAATTAAGGATAGCAATCACGAATATTTTAAACAACACATACTTAGAGCAGAACTGCTTAAATTTGGGAGCAAACCCAAAAACAATATTATACTAAGACACCAAAATGGATCTCTCCACTAGAAGCACTTATGAACCTAATGATATTTTCCAAAGAATACTTGTGGAGATACCAAGACTTGCTAGACAATCAAGACAATTTAATCCAGCAAGAAAAGTTGAAGGAAAAAGGCATTAATTTGAATTGGTGGGAAAGATAGCAACTTGACTCCAGATATGCGAAAGATAAAAGTGTGCGGTTTTACAATGTACCTTTGGAAATATATAAAATTATGTGGTCTACTGAAGGGAAACATATAAGACTATTTTATGGAGTTTTGTTTGAAATGAAAATGCAAGACAAGGTGGTAAAAGATGTAACGATTAAATGGGCACAAAATATAGGCCATAACATAACATTAGAACAATGGGGTAAGATCTGGAAGGTTAACATAAAGCTTACTAAAGCTGTGTCGTATAAAGAAAATTTGTACAAAATGTTTTCTAGATGGCACATGACACCTGAGAACTTAGTAAATGGTACCCAAATATGTCTAATGTATGTTGGAAATGTAAACTAAAAACTGGTTCCTTTTATCATATGTGGTGGACATTTGACACTGTGAAAAGATACTAGATATGGATACATGAGATATTACAAAAAATGCTTGACACAAATGTACCATTTATACCAGAATTGTTTTTATTGAATATCGTACCACAAAACTTTAATTTACATTATGTACATATGATAGTATATATTGTTACTACAGCAAGGATATTATATGCAAAATACTGGAAAAAAGAAGAGACACCTATGAAGGAAGAACTAATTTTTAGACTTTTGGAGGCAGCAGAAATAGATAAGTTAACTTTACAATTGCATGGAAAATTAGAAAGTGACTTTGAAACAAAATGGGCGAGATTTTATAAATGGCTACAAAGTTACTTAGAAGGTCATAAAGTATAAGATATAGATGGCTTAAAAGAACCTGATTCTTCAGATACATGTGATCCAAAATGTAACAAAGTATAGTCTCTGGCTTCTGTATTTCTAATCTATTTTTCCCCTTATCTCTTCTTCAATCTTTACTTATGAAAATAATAAAATTTCTTTAAAATAAATCAATGAATAAAATAATAGTAAAAATATTCAATTTATTTGGTATCTATTTAACTATTCTCTATGGTAATAATTTTTGCTTTGTATTTGTACTATATCCATAGTTCTCCTGTTTTTACTAGCCTCCATATAAGGCCTGAAGATGTCCTGGAAATACAATTAATTAATCTCCAGACTGCAAAGATCTGTTCTCTTGGAGAAAATGGCTGCTGTGGAGGGTGGATTGTATGGCATTATACCCTACTGAGATTCCTCCCCTACCCAAACCTCCTCCTTCCCTGGCTTCATCCCAAAATCTCTAGAAATCTGCAATCCAGAATTGGAAACTCTAGTTACTGCCAAGCCTAGTCCCATGAGTCCTCCCTTAAAGGTGGCCTGCCTTTCCCCTTGCCTTTTACTGATCGAAACTAAGGTTGGAAGGCTGGCAATATGGTTGTGGTTGCCTAGCAAAGGCCACTGAGAGCATTTTTTTCTTAAAACTACAGGCACCACTTCTATAATTTTGGAGGGCTTTAACCCCCATAAGCATATTTATTTTTAGATTTTAGATTTTTTTGGCAGAATTGTCCCCCCCCCCCAGTCTCCCAGGTTTGTAAAAGGGTCTGTCTTATCTGTCCATGGCTCCAGTCTCTGGATTTATCCATACAAAGATTTGGGCATGTTGAGCATTAGATATATTGATATATCCAGCCTCAGATGGTGACTGGACAACAAAAGGGTATAAAAAATTGTGGAGGCCACTCTGTTATCATTGTGTGTTACTATGTAATGATCATTGCTGCAAACCTGGCTTTGTGTGTTTTTTTTATTATTACGATTTATTGGCCTGGGGCTATGTGAATGGACCACTAAAAGCATTATCAACAATTTGATTGACTACAAAGTGTAATACAAGGGTTACTCACTTTGGCTTTATTCTCGAAGACAGATTTTGGAAGCTTATCAGCACGGAGGTGAGTAAACATAACTCTCCTTGATGGATAGGTGTTCATCCTCTTTTACAGCCAAAATAAATAGGCATGATATGAAAAGTAAACAATCCATTAGAGAAAGCACAAACTTTTCTTTACTCTTTCTTCAGAATGTCCCTTTGACTGTCTGCCGCTGTCAACATTGATTAGGCAATATGGGCCTTTCATCCTACCTTTTGGGAAAAAAATTCAAGGCCTTCAACATGTCAATTAATACCTTTGCTTCTAGACAGCACACCTTAATACTTTGGAGGTGAATTTTTGCTTCCTATCACAATATTTCAGGGCTAAGGCTGGCTCACTAAAAGCTTCAAAATGTGTATGTTTTTTGTTTGTTTTAAATTTTAGTTAAGGAAGGAGAGGGAATCCTCCATTGTGTCCTCAGTACTAAAAAGTTCTACCAGGCTGAAAAAAGTTGGTGAATCTTACAGATAACTTTATACATTCACACACATATATATATCAAATCCAAAGTTCCACATGCAATCTGGCAACAATATAGAACCCTATCAGGAGTTGCCTTCTTATTTGCTTCAATAGGTAAGGGCAGCTTTGTGGACACAGAGCTTCTCCTTTCAATGAAGATCATGGGGAAGCTACTGAAATTGCTTTACGTAAGAAGTGGCATCCATGCTGATCTATTTTTTCACCAGTTTGGAAGAGTTTTGTATAAAGTCTTTAATTTGCTTGTAAAACCCCACCTTTTGAGGCAAACAGCTATTATTCCCATTTTACAGATGGCACACTGAAGCTGGATATAAGACTAAGACAACCTAGTCAGTTCATAAATGGTACAGAACTAAACTCTTCCCCTCCATGTCCAGCATGCTGTTCTCTGGTTCTTGTCATTCTGGTTCCCAGCAGCAGTTTAGATCAGAGATAAAATGTAGATCATCTACAAAAAGAATCACTGGTGGTGGCGAGTGGATCAAGGGCTAGTTTGGATTTCAGTAGCATTCCATTATTCCATGGCCGAGAATAATGAAGAATGCTATTCACTGTTTTTAGCAACATTTTGGGAAATTCCCAAAAACAATCTGCTCTTTTGATTGTTATTTTCAGCAATGCCTGCAAGAATGTTCCTATCTTCATTTGCATTGCCTTTTCCTGCCTTCATTCTCACTTGGCTTCATTTGATCTCACCGATATTATCGTAGCTAAATCTGATTGGCTACAAAGTATCATGACACCACCATGTTCAATGTATGATCCCCATTTGGCTGAGAGCAGCTGTATAATCAAGGAAAAAGAAAATATAGGGGGGGGGGATAGCACTGAAGCAGCAAAATACTCATAAATAGGGGAAATAATGGTGCAAAATAGGATCAGGATGGGAAAAAGTGACAATTCTATTTGGGAAAAAAGTTCCCAGGCCTCAATCCAAAATCATTACTATGAACCCAGAATTCAAAACCAGGAAACAGGAACAGCTTTAGAGAGTATAGCTATGAGAAGTATAATGTTTACTACACTGAGAGGGAACAAAAACTAAATAAAAATAGAAGACTTCCCCAGTGATATCCAACCATGATGGGCAAGGAATGGAGGAGACCTCATACCCTCTCTGACAATAACAATTCATAGAGTTGGAAGGGACCTAGACCAATTTCCTGCATTGTGCAGGGGGTTGGATTAGATAACCCTGGAGGTCCCTTCCAACTCTATGATTCTATGAGTCTTTCTATTGAAGTCCATTTCAGAGACTGACCCAATTAAGCCATAATGGCCAAACCATAGTTTGTTCATCAGTACTGTACCTTGGGCTCCAGCATGCTCTCTTCTTTTCTCCCACACTCACCAATTCTCTCTCTACAGTAATTAACCACAGTTTGCTGTGACATCAGTAATGAACAAACTAGTTACTGCAAGCCATAGATTGTTTACAATGAGCCATAACAACCCAATCAGTCCACTGAGGACCATTCTAGTCTAGTTGACCCCCCAAATGAAGGACAATAGTAAGATGGAAACACTTCTGAGGAAGTAATAAGGAGCAAGGGGGAGAGAATGAATGGAAGACAGATAGTAGTGCAGGGTCTGTATAACCATTTTATTTTACAGTCTTTCAAATCTTTGCAAAATATTCAGTTCTCACCTTATACTTGTCAGTATCTCCAATTTCAATATAAGGAAATTCTGCCAGCAGTAGCTTTTCATTAAGCTTGTCTGGTTCATGTTTCTTTGCAGATGTTATTACTAAATCTGTAACTATCTGGCCAACCCAGTTGGTACCTGGGAAAACAAAACGAATGAAAAACTGGAAATGGAACATTATTGAGCTGATAACCTATACAAGATCCTTGACAAGAAATTCTTGAAAGCAAAATGAAGATCTGAGAATCTACTTTGTACTTAATTTGAGACAAGCACCTCTATGTTATTGTAACCTGTATCTAGAACTAGTCTTTAGTCAAATATGTATTTTTAAGTATAGAGAATTCACTAATGGTAACGTGGTATATTTCAAGAACCTTGCTACTCTGTTTTTTTCTTTCTTTTACAATTAGAGTAGGGTCATAGTATTGTAGGGTGTAGTGAAAAGCAATAAAAATTATTTTAAAAAGGAAAGAAAAGAAATTCTCATTTTGTGTGGCTCATGTTGCTTATTGGATTCTTTAGTTGAAAAACAAAGAAACTGGAAAATATTTTAACCCTGCAATATATCTGTAATGTCCACTGCCAGAAAATTAACAATATAGAATTATATAGGATAGCTCAAAGGGTAGAGTAGTAGCTTATTCTTCCTTTAAACTTAAAAAATGATTCCAAGGTCCAGGATTTAAAAAGTAAAATGAGAAAGGAAATGGACTCTTAATATGATACTATAATTCTATGATGAAATCAATATATTACATTCATATTAGCAGAGTTTAAATTAGCAAGTTCCCACACAGATTTTTGGCTAGTGAGTGAGTAAGTCACACAAGACTGAAACAACTTTAAATGAGTTAGTGAAGTCAAGGGCAAATGAAAAGGACAAAAAAGTGGGAGAGAAAACTTAACCCAAAAGAATGAATTAAGAACATAGAAGGTTAAATTAATCCAAATTCAATTAAAATAGCTGAATGTAGAGGGCCCATCTTTGGATTGCTTTTGATTAAGTGTTTGCTAATAATATATTTATTGGCCACTAGGATTCTCTCTCGATCTTCCAGGTTTTTCTCTTTGGGTGTGTGAATTGTGTGCGTGTGTATCCATCCTCCTTTTTTCTTTTGTGGATATGTATCCTCTCTTGCTTTCTTTTTCTTTTATCAATATGCATCTGTGATACAATTTATGCCATTGTACAAATAAGAGACAACCAAAGATAAATTATGTAGATGGATGGATACTATAATTATTTAGATGGATGGATACTATATATAAACAAAGTTAATCTTCAGCTATTGTTGATTTTCCAGGTTGTATGGCCGTGGTCTTGTCATTCCACATGCAATCCACATTCCACAGCCAATCCACATACAAAAGAACCTCCTCAGGAAACAATCCATATACAAAAGAACCTCCTCAGGACAGCTCCTCCATTAACATGTTAACAGCCTGAGGAACTCCTACAAGATAATGACTCAGCACTACCCCACCTTCCTGAGTAGATATAAATTACCTGTCTATCATTTTACTTCTCACCTTGACACAGAGAGTACTCCATCTTTCCATGTTATACCTCTGAGGATGCTAGTAACAGCTAATGGCGAAACGTCAGGTCCTACAATGCCAAAAACACGGCCATACAACCCAGAAAATCTACAACAGCTGATGAACTCCGGCCATGAAAGCCTTCAACAACAAAATTTATCTTCCCTGGAAATAAGGTTGTTATTTTTATTGGAGTAGGAAATGATAAAAGATGGTTATTCTTTCTTATTTTGATGTGTTTTAATTTTAAAAGTATCAAAATTAAAAATAAAGTTTTGAAGGTGTTGAAATAACCTGAAGTTTATATATGTTGAGAATTTTGCTGAAACTCTTGGGATTACTGGTTTTGCAACCCTAAAGTGCAAACTTGACTAGCTTAAACTTTACCCTGGTTGTGTCAAATCAACTGCAAACTTTGGACTTTCAACACTGTCACTTAAAAAGTCACTTGTTAAAAACCCTTGTACCATGTTCTGTCATAATGATGTTCATACGTTGAACAAATTCTAAAGTGATTTATTTTCCCCTCTGTTTCTTCTAGTACATAAAGCCCCAATGTGCCTACACAGTTGATTCTCACATATTTCTTGGAGTGTAGAGAGCAGTCAGAGGATTGCATGCTAGCTATGTTAAGAGGGAATAATTAATTAAGAATTAAGAATAACTTTACAGCTTTATCTGTGGTTTAGTTGGTTATTGAGTGAAAGACTTCTGAGAGTTTTTCTTTTGCACAACAGTTATAATAGCTTCTTATATCTCAAATATTTTTAAAGAAAGCAAAATCTCTGTACACTAAGTGCTGTGAAGTTGTTTCCAACTTATGACGACCCTGTGAATGAATGACCTCCCAAACACCCTATTGTGAACAGCCTTGCTCAGGTCGTGCAAACTGAGGGCCAATGGCCTCTTTGACGGAGTCATGCTGAGTCCTCCTCTTTTTCTTCTGCCTTCAACTTTTCCTAGCATTATTGCTTTCCCCAGGGACTCTTCTCTTCTCAGAGCAAAATCTATTGGAATGTTAATTGTTGCTCACTTTGTGAATCTGGCACCCTCGACAAATATTTTCATAAAAGTCACATTCTCCTTTGGAGCCCTAAAAGGTAAAGGTAAAGGTTTCCTTGCTCGAAAGCCAGTCGAGTCTGACTCTAGGGTTGCAGTGCTCATCTCCGTTTCAAAGCCACAGAGCCAACCCTGTCCGAAGACGTTTCCGTGGTCATGGGGGCAGAATGACTAAACACGAAGGCGCACGGAACGCTGTTTCCTTCCCAACAAAGTGATACCTATTTATCGACTTGCAATTTCTTTCTTTCAAACGGCTACGGTTCCGTCATGCGGCACCCGGGTCTCGAACTGCTGAACTACTGACCTTCCACAGCCTGCAATTCAGCATCTTAATCCCTTGAGCCACCGCAGCTCCTTTGGGGCCCTACAAGTCATCAATATCCTTTTTGTTTGTCAGTAGCCAGAGTTTTCAGTAATTTATAATTTTATCATATACATGCACACATGATGATTCTAATGGGATTCTAGTGATACTAATGGGAGGTGCAACTGCATAACTGCACAGTGGATTGCAGCCAGGGTGGCCAGATCCCCCGCTCTGGCGAGAGACCTCCCACTGGCAGCCTCCCTTCCCTGCCACCACTTGGTAGGGCAGCGGGGGGGGGGGAAGGTGTCAGTCCAATGCTGCAACGCAAACCCAGAAGTGACATCATTGCATCAGGGTGAATTGCTCTGCTTGTGTCCTTTCGATTTGTTCCATTGTTAGCTGCCTTGAGACTAAGAGGATAAGGCACAATCTAAAGGCACAATCTAAATGTTTTAAATAAATAAATAAGACAGGAATGCAGAATCTGAATGCAGACATATGTCGAGGTTGTCCCAACTGAGAGCAAGCCCTGAATATATCCAGAATGTTTACCATGTGCACAGCCTTAAACTCTTCTCTATGTGTGACCAACATACAGGATGCAGGGTGGAAGCAAGACTGCCTCAGTACTAAATCAGCATTTGGAACAAGCTGCATATTCCAGTATAGTAGCAAGGGAAGCCCATATAAGATGAAGCTAGGTCACTGAGCAAATTGACCCACTAAATCAATGGTCGCACCCTCACATGCACTCTCACATGCAGGAGCCTGGGAGAAGTGACAGTACTACCAGACCACCTGCATCCCTTAACCTGCATAGCATCTGTCTTTCCTCAACTCATTCTCAGGGTTGCTAGCCTCCAGGTGGGGCCTGGAGTTCTCCTGGAATTATAACTGATTTCCAAACTATGAAGATCGGCTCTTCTAGGGGGAATGGCAGCTTTGAAGTGTAGACTCTATGGCAGCACAGTTCCACTGAGCTCACTCCCTCCCAACTACCATTCCCCAAATCTCCAGGAATTTCACAAGTCAAAATTGTCAACCTTGGTCCAGACAGATCTACCAGAGCTCATCAGGCAACAGACATACTTATATCTCATCAATCTACATAAACAGTATAGGGCTGGACTGAATAATCTCCCCTGAATTCCCAGTCCTATTCACAGATGGGAGAAGCAATGTACCTCCCTTTTGACTACGTTTTAGGAAGAGGGACATTTGCCCATATTGAGGGAGAAGGAATTTGCTCTTTGATTATCTCAGATTAGCTTATGCTCAGTTTTCCTCCAGACATGCATAGTTGTAATGGGGGCAGGGAGAGATCCAGAAGAACAGAAATAACTGGATATTGTGGAATCGATGCAAGATCCAATTTAGAATCAAATTTTAGAGATTCTCTTCATTCAACTGAATTAAAGGAAAACTGGACAGCAGCATAGAGAGAAATTCTAGAACAGAGCAGGGGAAACTCCTCTGATCCCTGTATCTGGAACCCTTTAATACAGCCACACTAAAGCCTTCACATGTATACAAGTTAGTGCATTATGCAGTGCCATCCTAAGAAGAGTTACACCCTTCTATGCCCATTGACTTCAATGGATTTTGAAGGCTGTGAGTTTGCTTGGGATGGAACTGATAATTCTGAAAACAAAAATTCAGTTCTAGAGTATGGCTACATAGCATAGATACAAAGGAAATTGAGAGCCATACAGTTTCCCACTTTGAACAACTGCAACACTAATTTCAAGTATGTGCTGTTAAAAGTTATGCAGATAGTTTTTTCCCCATGCTATCATCAGTTTCCTGTCCAGAATTACTGAAGCCATTATCGAAGAACCCTTCTAACTTATTTCTACTAGCCTATTACATTCCAGCCCAACACCTCATGCTAATTCTTTTTGTATCAAACAAATTATACTCACCAGATTTACAGTATCCAGCCAGCATGACATCATCACTCCTTGCTTCAAAGGACTCAAGAGCCTTGAAGACCTCCGGACTGCAAAGAGCAGTGGGGTACACAACCCCATCGTAAGTAAACAGCATCTCATCTCGAGTCATCTTTTCACCCTCTTCCATTGCCTTTTCCAGAATCTCAATAAACTTCTTTCTCACGGGTGGCATTTTGCCTTTTTCTCTACCTGCTGCTTTCTCGTCTGCTGATCAAGTGATTTGAGTGAAGAAAGCTAGAGAACTAACTTGGCTTGAGAACACTTTTTGTAACTTGATGAGTTCCTGTTAAATGGAAATACAGATCTTCTTTCAAGCATGAACAAATAGTCTTGTCCAGTCCCACAAAACCTTTGACCTGCTGCAGTGTCTGTTCCTCCTCCCACTCCCTCATCCCTTTAGGGCCCAAATTTTTGGACCTCCCTTATTTCTTGAGTGTTTTCTGGGTGTGTTTTAAATAGCTGCTCCTTTCGTAATATGTTAGCTTAAAAAAATACATCAGTTCAAAGTATAGTTTCAAGCAGACTGTTGTAAGAGTTGCTTATTTTGCAATAGTATTGTTTGGATATCCAGCCGAAGTACCATTTTGTCTAGAATGACAAAGAATTTTGCAGAATGTCAGATAGTGACGGGAAGGGGGGGAAATGTCGCTGTGGAATTGCTTTTCTTGCTGCCTAACTGGTTCAGGGAGTCTGCAGCAGGAACCAGGGAGGGAGAGCCAGAAAGAAGCAGTTGAATTAGGGTTGCCAGGTCTTACCTGGCTGCTGCTGGTGGTGGTGGGTCCTGGTTCTCTTCCTGGAGTTCTCTGTGGTTTTTCCTTAAATGATCGAGAGTTCCCCCTGCAAGATGCCCGGCGTGATGATGTCACATTCAGGTGAAGTCATTGTGCCAGGTGCATTGCTGCAAACAGGGTGCTTTGGGGACGGGGTCCCCCCACCCGGTCAGGGGAATGGTAGCCCTAAGTTGAACCCTAATCCAAAGGAATCACAGAACCTCTGATCTACCCTGACTCAACCCCACCCAAGCTGAGGATGGCGATGGCCAGGGGCCTGACTCACCCATGCAAGGAAGGCCAGGAGAGATTGTGGGATGGGATCCAGGCAGATCCCTCTGACACAACTGAGAATAAATCTGGGAGCTAGGCAGCAACAGGAAGCAGTGGGGTCAGAAGGCAAACCTGGGCTCAGATTTGGGGAAGGCCAGGATGGAAGAGGCTAAAGAGGCAGCCCTGAGCAAGAAAGAGAAAGAGCAGAGTGGGGAGACAGGCAGCAAGGGGAAGAGGCAGGAACTGACTGGGTTCAGGAGGGAGAGGAGA